CTCGTCGCCTGCATGGCGCAGTGGTTAGAGCGTCTGCTCTAGAGTCGCGGAGTAAGGAGTTGATCCTTACGTCATGGGTTCGAATCCCACTGTGGGACGTGGAGACCGATCCTTCGGATGAGACTGTATAAACCGAGGTCCCATGTCGCAGTATATGCTGGCACGAAAAAGATCCCTCACTGCTCAATGGCCGTAAGTGCCGAGTATAGGACAAAATTTGCAGCTCTCCACCAGCAAATGGTGGCGTCTCCATATGAGTGAAAAATTCTCGAGAGGGACGTTAAACAACATAAAAACAAACAAACAAACTCCTCGACTCTAAAGCAAATGCTCTAACCATTGCACCATGCAGGTGACTTTGATTTCCATGCCTCAGAGGAAATGACTTGATAGCCTCTTATAGGAGTAACTGTCACTGACTATATGCACTACCTATGTGGTCACATAAACCAAATACTGCTGCTCTTTGAGACATAGTTTATAAGTCTTATATAATGCACTTAAAATAAGTCAAGATTCCAAAGAATTTCAAACATCCCATTCATTCAAAGAGTTAAAAATAATCAAAACCTCAGGAAGTTTCAACAATTCTTAGATTTGAAAAAATATTTGCTCAAATTGAATTAGATTTCATATTTTATTCTGTTTATGTCAAACATGATGTTCTATTTATTAACAATTGATTTCTCTCCTTGGTAAAATGATTTTTTTACTGTTTATTTAACGTCCCTTCGAGAATTTTTTACTCTTGTTAAGAAGCCACCACTGCCCTGTGGAGGGCTGCAAAATTAGACCTGAACTCAGCACTTATGGCCATTTATATTAGCAGTAAGGGATATTTTTTGCAAACACCTACTGCAACAAAGAACCTGCTTTATACGGTTTCATCCAAAGGACCAGTTTTCAGGTCCCACAATGGGATTAAAACCCTTGAAGTAAGGATCAACTCCTTACTTTGCAACTCTGGAGCAAAAGCTCTATACTCTATGCCACGTGGCGACTGGTAAATTGATAAACATGCACTAAATATGTTAACTCTACCACAGGCCTCTATGTGACCTCTAAAATTTAGGCACCAACTGGCTCCTTATGAAAATAAATTTAGTCACAAATGCAAATTTTAGCCGCCAGGTAAATTTTTCTTAGGCACCAATCTAAAAACTGATATTAGTCAATATTAGAGACATGTCCATTGCTTCTTTTCGGCTCTTTCTAAAAAAAAAAAATTGAAAATGTTTATAGTTCAGTAATTTGATGATCACCAAGCCAATTTAAAATGGTCGCCAATTTTGCGAATTCTAGAAAAATTTTAGGCACCAATCATAATTTTTAGGTGCTATGGCAACTTAATTAGTCGGCAATTAGACCTATACCATATATCGCATACCCTGTAATTGTTTTCACTATCTGCACATCTTTGATTTTTTTGCCTTTACAAATCAACTTGGTTATAAAGATACATGACTGTATAATTTTTGTAAAACAGCTGGATTTTTAAGTTAAATTTCTTTTGGTTTAAAGCTAAGAAAACTTAGATATTATAGCTAAAGGACTGGTTATTAAGGGACATGCAAGCTTAAGTATTTCTGACACATTTATTCTATCCCCTTTAAAATTACCATGGGGCTATGGATACACGTTGGTCATGTGATCAAATCCCATGGAATCCAAAGGGCTTTATGGTAGGTAACAACATATGACTATAGTCCCATAGATGATAAAATATTATACTTTTTCATGTTACATTTTGCCCATATATGAAGCATTAGAATATTATAAATTGTGTATAAAACATTAATGTTTTTACTTTGAATTTCAAATGTCAAGCGTCACCTGTGTGGCGCAGTGGTTAGAGCATATGCTCTAGAGTCGCGGAGTAAGGAGTTGATCCTTACGTCGTGGGTTCGAATCCCACTGTAGGACATGGAGACCGGTCCTTCGGATGAGACCATATATATCGAGGTCCAGTGTCGCAGTAGGTGCTGGCACGAAAAAGATCCCTCACTGCTCAATGGCCCTGAGTACCGAGTACAAGTCAAAATTTGCAACTCTCCATCGGCAAGTGGTAGCATTTCCATATGAGTGAAAAATTCTCGAGAGGGACGTTAAACAACAACAACAAAAAATCAAATGTCAAGCTAGAATAAGGAACTACAGCATTGAACTATTGACCCTTTTTAGTCATTCATAGTTATAAATGAGTCTCCTTGAATCCTAATATTTCTCAGGAGAAAGCACTGCAATTTTAAATAAGTGTTTATTTTCTAGAAACTTTTGTTTGTGCAGGTGTATCAGATGCATTCCAAAAGTGTTCAGTCACTGAAAATTTAAATACAGTTGAACTTTGGTATCTCAAGCACTGATAACTTGAATACCATGGATATGTCAAAGTTATCTGGAAGTCCGAACCACTTATTTTTTAAGAAATTAACACTCGATATCTTGAATACTCCTATATCTCTAAGTTTTTTCAGTTCCATCTATTTTAAAATAATGAGGTTTGACTGTGCATCTTTCTTATTTAGCATTTGATGAATTTCATATGAATCACCAACAAGTTTTCACATTTTGATGCAAACTTTTATAGTTCTAAACAACCAACCACTCATTAATCAATTACTACATATAATTTAAATAAAATAAATTAACAATTAGTTAAAAGTTCATAATTATATACATTTTACCAACTCTTTTTATGTATTCAACTACAAGATATTATATACATAATTTAAATAAATTTAAATTGATCAGAAATGTCAAAATGGAAAATTTGAGAAACATGGCTTCATTTACTGGACAGTACTGAAATTGTAGAAAAGAAGTTCATTCATTTATCAATTTTTTGATTCGTTCTAGGAACAGATCAGAAAATATGTTTCAAAAATAGGTAGTATCTATTTAAATAATTAAAAAAATCAAAGTGAAGGAACACTTTAGCATATGTGCCTGCCTGTTCATCTATTTGCAATCATACTAATAAATAAACAAAGCTGATGTATCAAGATAATAAATGCTACTATATAAGTGAAGCATTTCAAGTAAATCTTTTGGTTGTAACCATTATAGCATTTTGTCGTGTTAAACAGAAAAAGTAATCTAACTATGAAGTAGCTCCCAAGTAGTCCATATGCAAGTACTTCCAAGTTTCTTTTTAACAACCAGTTTTGTACCCATTTTTGCAGATGAGTAGGGCAGTATACATGGACCATATTCAAAAGCTTTAGAGATATTTATGAAATAATGAAAAAGTTTGGTAAAATAATTATAATTTCATTGCCTCAATTGATATAATTCACATTTCTTTGGATTGAAAAATCCTTATATAACCTTCAATAAGAGTCCTTAATTATTTCCTATGTATCTTAAAACACGAGATCTGATTGGTTAGCAAGCGGTGTGTAAATTTCCTTACACCCAGCTAAAGCTGGGGTGGGGTGGGTGGGGTTAAATAATGTGACATCACAATGAATAGTTTCTATATCAAATAAACACCATACAACATGATGTCACGATGTATTGAAGCATGTAGTAAATCAGTAGTTTAAAATATTAGTGGAATTGGGTTTACGGAGAAATTATTAGGTTATATAGGAAATAAAGATTTGTTATCCAGGTGTAATCAAGGGTGTACAAAGATTTACCTGTTAGCAAATATAACCTATCACTGGGTCGTATTTTGGCTGACTTGCTTCATACCAATTGTTAGGCCTTTGTTTATATGCTAAATTTGACTATCGAATATTCCATCTACTTGATCAATATATAGGGCTCACAGTGGGTGTGGCCGGTCAACAGGGGATGCTTAATCCTCCTTGGCACGTGATCCCACCTCTGGAATTTTAGGGGGTCTGTGTTTATGCAGTGTTCAAAGATTTGTATTGTTTGTAATTTTTATGAAATAGATCACTGTTCATTATCTTCTCTTTTTCATTCCATATCCATACCCCGCAATCATAACTTTGACCTTTTGACTCCAGAATCAAGAGGAATCATCCTCTCCACTGGAGTAGAGACTGATCTAAAAGCCAATTTGAAAGCAACTAAATCATAAACACAAATTTAATTCCTGATGTACACATACCCTAAATTAAATTAGTGACTATTGTCTGCCCCAAAATAAATACAGGGACCCAAGACTTTATCTTTGAAATAATTAAAAATTCTTTTAAACAATGTATAAGTACTGCACAACAAATGTAAATCACATAACACATAAATATGCATAGACTTTTAACACTTACAACAGGGTGATTGGGCTATGTGTATGTTTAAGGTGTGCAATAGAACATCTCCTATGACATGATACAATATTTTACAAGATGGTGCTTATATATTGAATAAATTATGTGATATTTTGTTAGTATATTACTATATAGGTCTCTGGGTATTGCTAAGAGACCCCTAACATAGAATGAAATGCAAGTTGGGACCCATGCATGTAGTTTTCTCGTTTATTTAATTAGACGCATGCAATTTCTTCACTATAAGAGCATATTTTATGATTAAACAAATGTCATTTCAAACTTTACCAGATATACTGTAATACAGTGCCCTACACTCAGTCAGTGTCAGTATGTGTACAGGGTGATAAAAAATACATGATCAATATTGCCATTTATCATGTTTATTTACCAATAATTTCAAAACTTTTTAATTCTGTATTGCATATTTATGAAAAAATCATGACGATACTATCATTAATTACTTGCAATAGGATTAATCAATAAAATAAATGAATTGTGCATTTCCGTCCTCATTACCATCTTTCTTCAGCATCGACTAATACGAGGTTCGACATGGCAATTATAAATAAATATTTATCTTTTTATTCTGTCTTCAAATGCTGTACAGCTGGTCTGAAAAAAATTGTGATGGATTACCAGAGGAAATAAGATCTGATTTATTAGAATTAAATGTTCTGTATTTAAAAAAAAAAAAAAAAACGGGTTGGCAATTTACGAAACAACAGTGGATCGGGTTATTTAGCCGACCAAAATGGCAGTACAGGCTCCGACCGAGGACTGAGGAAGCTTAGGATGACTAATAAGAATGGTTGCGGCGAGTGTTTTGTTGTGGAGGTATTAGAAGAATGTGTAAGAAACATACGGTTAGTCGCCTAAGTTCAAATCTATCAAATTCAAAGTTTTAATTAAAAGATATCTACAATTCTACGCTTGGACGATACACTGATACACAGTCATTTAGCTGGTACAATCACTAGTTTTAGCTACGTAGCTTGAATTACCTACATAGCTTTATTTACCTACCTGAAGTAGCTTTATTTAACTACTAAATCAAACATTTCTTTAATTAGCTTTTTTCTCAAGATGTGCACAAAATCGCACTTTCGTGCAGTGATAATTTTCAACTTTTAGCTCATCTGAAAACAATTCATTATGTTCATGAAAAAAATTCTCTTGAAAATGTGTCTTTTTCTGCGCAATTGCACTCAAAGTTATAAAAGTTTTAGGGCTATATACAACGCTCAGTTAATTTGTGACCAAACAGTTACTATTAACAAAGAAGATCAGTTCAGGTAAACTTGATAATTGATTGGTAATTATTCAGCACAATGTGAAGTAATCATACTTATCCATGCCTCACCGCACACAAAGTGGTGTATGGTTACTCAAACAGCAGAAATACTTCTGTATTCCGAATGTCGCAGACCCGCGCTTCACGACTCATGGTATTTTACCTTGCGCAGTTACGTCTGTTCCTCGCATGACATATCCACACATTTGACAACCAACAAGTCATGAACATGCATGGTACACATGTATGTATAAAATAAACAATTTAATTCATAGTTTAACTTGCTGTAATCCTTGTAACAACAATAAAGCAGTGGAGATACCAAACACCAAAACCAAAAAATATAAAACTCATTTTTTGTTTACACTGCAATAGACTGGAGTCATCTGGAAGAGGAAGTAGTTGTAGATAGAATTTTCTAATCATTAAAATGATTAATGTGCTTCAGACCCGGTTAGAGAGAGGTGTGGTGAGGGCTCGTCTGGAGACGCAGTTAGATTATTTAACTAATTTAAAAGTAGTTCGTGCCCCAAAGCTATTAAAGAGTTTTAAGACCGCGTTACAACATCCTGATGACTAAATGCACCCTCCTCCATCACATTAAAACCCAAGAAGATTATTATAAATTTATACTTGTACATAAACAAACTGATTGAAGAAATGCCCATGTAGAAAACGCATGGTTTTTTCTCGTCAATGTCGTAGCATTATACTGGTGGATGATAGTTGACATATTAGTATTGATAGAATACTTCCAATTACAATTACTTGTTTTTAATTTTAACCTAAAATCATTAAAGTCATGACTGTATTTGTAGACCCCTACAGTTTGGGGTATTTCGAATCCTGTGTGTACATGAGAGCAGATGAATAAAATACACATGCTGCACACTTGTTATATTAATTTTACATGTCAGATGTACACTCAATTTTCAGACAGGACCAAACTTTTACTAGTCAGTGTCGATCAGACATGCCTTATAAATGTTAAACCCTGTGTCCGAATGCATAAATATTTTTTACTTGTCTGATTCTGAACAGATTTAAAGAAATTTGTTGAATTTAATGAAGGCTAAATTAGCTATAAAAATAACTGACTTATTTAGATTTGTGTTATCATGAAGATAGAAATATTAGTTGCGCTCCTCCTCTCATTAGCAATATTTATCGAGGTATAACTGAGCGTTAAAGATGGAAAATTTATGCTATGCTACAAGTACATATTTTAACTTCAGTATCTTGAATCGTAGGATATCACAAAGATTTTTCTAGGACCCATTAGGTTCGATGTTTATATTCTACTCTAAAATGCTTAAAAATGAGTTTTTATACTACTAGTATCATTTACATTTTTGAAAAACATTTTTTAATAAATTTTTTTATCATGTTTTTGTCACAAATATAGTTTCACTATATATACCATGAAGAATTCACATCACATCAGAAACAGTTAATAACAAATGCCAGAAACAAATACAACAAAACAGAAACAGTTGTAACACCCTCTTGATCATCCTCATGTGCTTTTATGCTACATATTATAATAGTTCGGGTTAGAGATTTAATGCTGTTGGTTACTAAGGCAAATATAAACAAAAAATGGGGCATAGTTCCTGGGCTCGACATTGTATGCTCATCCACTTGTCCAGTACAGGTACCAGTAAAATTTTTCATGAACAATTGATAATTACTGACCACTTGTCTGATTTGACAAGGGATATTTTTCTAGGAAGAATTTTTTTTAGCTGAGCATGAAAACTTAAAGAATTAAAATTTGTTGTCAACTTTTTATCGGAGGTTCAAAATGAAAACATGCCATGCATGCGGTTTGTAAATAGTTAAATGTTGATCCTGCTCGTAATAATGATGGCCCTGGTTGTCAAACTTGATCAGGAACAATGTTACTATGAAACTTGTCTGAAATATCTGATGTTTTTCAGGCATTTGTCACAATTTTAATTTTAATATTTAAAGTACCAGGAAGTTGACTACTTAGAACTACAGTAACTTTGAAACGTGTACTTTTACTGAAGGAAATTTGGGTTTTTATTATCTGGCAGGAGAGCTTTAGCAAAAGACAATTTAGGCTACAAAGGATAAGCAAAAGAAGGCAAAGAAAAATTTGAAGTCATATAGTCAGCTATTTCTTGTTGTTACTATTTTTCTTTCATACATGTAATTATATAACATGATTTACATCTACTTTAGGATAGGATGATACAGTTTAGTAATTTGCAATAGATGTGTCCACTCAAAATCTCAAAAACAGACTCAATGAATGTATTATAGACTATTGTAATGTACAATATTTTTTCAAATTGTTAAATAGGTCTTTTATGAAATATTTTCATACAAGTAAAAGTTATGTTCAGACAAGTAAATTTCACAATCACTTACTTCGAGGGTAACATGCCAGAATATTTTCCCCAATTGTGTCACCCAATGTCGAATGCATATCTTGTCATTTAATTATTCAGTTTTATTTATTTCAATATATTAATATCCAAAAACATTATTGCTTACATGTATGTAATTGCTAGTCATGAGAACCCCCTGGAGATAAGCCTATTATGGCAATAGATGGGACTGAAAAAAAAACCTTTGAGAAACAGATAATTGAGGTTTCAAGAATAGCGGGTAAAGATCATAAACTCACTGAACTTGAGCACTTAGACATATCCATGGTATTTGAGAAAGAGTTTTAAAATACATAAGTAAAACTGCCATTAACAATAAATTTTATTTCTCCATTTTTTATTTTAGCGCACCTGAGCCAAAGGCTTAAGAGAGGTTTTCTGATCAAAATTTGTCTGTTGTCTGTCACTGTTGTTGTTGGAGGCGGCAACATAAACTTTTCACATTTTCATCTTTTTCTCCAGAACCACTTTGCCAATATTAAACTTGCCACAGAGCGTCCTTGGGTAAAGGAAATTCAAGTTTGTTCATATGAAGGGCTACACGCTCTTTCAAGGGGAAATAATTAAGAATTGTTGTAAATTTAATGGCATCTTTAAAAACACTTCTTCTCAAGAATCAGTGGACCAGAAAATGAAATTTCTCTGAAAGCTTCATTACTGTGTGCCAGAAAATGAAAATTCTCTGAAAGCTTCATTACTTAGTGTACATTCAGGTTTGTTTAAATCATGACCCCCCCCTCCCCCCCCCCCAGGGTAGGGTGGGGCCACAATGGACTTTTTACATATGAATAAATATACATCATCATGTGTAGTAAAAAAAAAAAAGTAGAACAGCAAGGCCATAGTGACTCGGGTGAGCATTGTTGCCCATGGCCACTTGTTCTTTTTACAGGCATTTTTTACTTTGACAAATTGCACTTTAATAATATAATTATAAGCTTAAATTGGATAATATTTTATTAACCATAACATTGTTATTCAAACTTTTGTGAAACTGTGAAATTAACTTGTCAAATGACTAGAAATTTCTTACTGAATCTAGATATGGATATACAGTTCTACAACATTTAAAATTTTACTGTGGCTCAGCACACATAAACATTTTTGGAGATCAATAACATTTTGTCGAAATCAAAGACAAAACCAAATGCTTGGGTATTTATTTACAAAGTTTGATTTGTTAATTTCTTACCATATGAATAATTTACCCTTTCTTTCCAGTAGTACCTTGTTATGCCATGCTTAGCTTAGAGCCAGGAATAGCAAATCAAAATGAACTTAGTCAGTTATTGTTCTTTGTAGAAAGAGACAATTTCTTTTCATGTTTTCTTTTTCGGTTTCTCATTTTAGGCCTACAGTATTTATTTTTTACTCAAATATTAGGAATATTATACTTGTGGGCAATCAATGAATTTAAGGAGTACTCTTTTTTTAGGTGCTCATGATGCAACTTCCTGGATGGTGTGTTAACTGTTTATCAGCATGTGAAATCCACATGATTGAAGGTATCTTACCTATCAGTAATATCAATTTTCTCTATTAAAAGCTGCATAAGGAATTATTTTATTTCTGGTCTCAAATTTTTGTCCAAGCATCATTCATTTTTTCTTCATCTTTTATCTAGTGAGGGTCATATTAATTGATTAATTTAATCAAGGCTTTATAGTAAAATATAGTGAATTGTTTTCTTGTGTATGACCTTTAAAGGGGCATAGACTCAGATTTGAAGTTAATATTTTCTAAAATTTTTGACTAGATCAAGACATATGTGTGGCTATAGTATTTCACAGGGAAATATCATAAAAAACTTATTTTACCTGGAAATTATTGAAACTACGAATTTAGGGACGCATTTGATTGACACATCCTTGCACTTTCACAAAGTAAAACTTCATCCTTGATACTTAAAAAAAGTAGAAATTTTGTTGTGTTTTAATGAAATAGATTAAAGATAAAATCCAGAAAATTCACAGTTGAAATGTGAGAAAGCAAAACCAACTCATCAGTATTGTCAGTCCGTGCTCAGTGATGTGTGCAGAGTTTAACAAATTGATCACACCCAATGGAACGTAAACTGTTTTGTGTTCAATTTGTTAAACTCTTCACACATCACTGAGCACGGACTGGCAATACTGGTTAGTTGGTTTTGCTTTCTCTCATTTCTACTCTTAATTTTCTGGATTATATTTTTATTAATATTTTTTCATTAATATGTATCAAAAAACCTATTTTTCTTAAGTATTAAGGATGAAGTTTACTTGTGAAAGTGCAAGGATGTGTCAATCAAACGCATCCCAAAATTCATAGTTTCAATAATTTACAGATAAAATAAGTTTTTTATTATATTTCCATGTGAAATGCTATAGTCACATATATGTCATGATATAATACAGACAATTTGAGAAAATATTTCAAAATGTCGAATCAGTGTCTATGTCCCTTTAAGAGTAACAGGTAACTTCACTTTTGAAAATAATTTTTCTTATTTCAGGAGAAGTCTCCCTTGTTAAAGATCAGCAACGGCAGATAAACAATGCATGATGCAATCTGCTCACTAAAAAGATTACAACAATACACCCCATGCATGTATTTCTACCTATCACCTATGTAACCTTTGTCATGCTCTTCAGAGAGGTAAGAAAACAAAATAATTATGAAAAAAAATTTTGGTAAAAGTGACACTTAGAGATCACTTTATCTGTTTGTCTGTCTGTCATACCCTAGCTCCTGAGAACTGTAAGAGGAATGGATTTGATACTTTGCACTTGCATTGCTTGGCACTTTGGCTTTTGTAAAATACCATATACAGTCAAACTCGTTTACATTGAAATTTAAGGGACCTTGAGATTTATTTCAAATTAACCGAATTTCATTATATCTGTGTGCTATGAATTACATAAAAAATGTAGATACAGTTGAACTTCATTATCTGGAACACTGATATCTTGAATACCATGGATATGTCAAAGTGATTTGCTGTCCCAACCACTTATTCTTTAAGTATTTAACCCTCGATATCTCGAATCCTCAGATATCTCGAAGTTTTTTCTCGGTCCCTTCAAGTTAGAGGTAACGAGGCTTGACTATACAGTAAAAAAATATACATGTGAGAATTCATATTTTTTACATAACATTACATGCAGTGTTTCAGAAATGTACTTATCTCTATTTTTCAAAAATGTCCTAAATTTTTTTTACTGTTTTATTTTATTTTTTTTTTTTTTTTTTTGATCTGTGTTAGAAAACTATCAAGACTATTTATACATGAAAAAAGTTTGTCCTGAACATTTCCGCATAGATGCAATGATTTGTCAGGTTCGAATCTATAGAACAGCCCTGTCTCATCAGCATTGAAAACATATGCTTCATATACTTCAATTCAAGAAGTTTATTTTCCATTTACTTAATTACAGTGGATTTATTTACTCCGGCACTTTCTCCACTAGGGCTGTGTCAATATATTGATTAATCAATACATATCAATATTCAGGAATTTATCGTATCGACAAACTAACTTCCAATACGTATTGGGAAGACAGTTTTTCTTATAATTCTGTGAAAAAGTTGGGAATTTCAGTCACCAAAGATAATTTTTAACTGTTTTTAATTAAAACTGGTCAATAATAAAATAAACATTAAGGAGATAGCACATCTTAATTAACTATTGCAAAATTCATATACAACTATATTTTAACATATTAGATTTTCAGTCATTAAAAGTTTGAATTTGAAGTGTTCTTTGTAAAGACAGTGAGACATATGAACTTCCAATTTGGTATTAAAACACCCAGTTTTTATCAAATTTATGCATTAAATGATTTACAAGACCTTTTTGCTAGACTTATTTAAGAATCCAATATATTGCATATTGCTTTATAAAATATCTTATCGAAATATTTTGGTCAATACACAGCCCTATTCTCCACACACCAATGTACACATGACACCCCTGCGTATTTTATCCATGTCGGTTTTAATGCCGTAGATAGAAAATAAAAATGGGGACTAATATGTTCCGGTGAGAAATGCTCAATTATTATTATTTTATCTATACAACACATAATTAAATTTGTACAGGTCCACCAACATCAAATCACCTGTGAAAAATTAACACGTGCTAGACTTTATATACAGTCAGTCACCTGAGTCCATGCGTCGCAATCGGCAACTTCAATGTACCCGTTATCAAAACTGGTTCAGCAGACCCCAAAATCACTTCAAATTAACAGAGTTTTTCAAGTTAACCGATTTCAATCTAAACGAGTATTTATTGCAAAGAAACTGTACCAGCATTTTGATTTTATAAAATCACTCTGGCGGTTGATTGAATTATTATTATTTTTTTCTTTGTTTTTTGATTTTGAGAGGCAGGATTTTGATAATTAGCATTTATATCACGTTACTGTATATGAGCTCATGACACTGTACTTTGAAACTGTATGCAATATAACCACACAAACTGAAATTTAAATACAATGAAAAGACATCAGGATGGGTATACCAAAAGTATCGTTATAGAGTGAATAGAGAGTGAAATCTCTTTTGGAAGATATCTGGGATAAAGGTATATTTATTAAAAATAATTATTTTAATTATTATACCCCCATTCCGAAGGAGAGGGGGGTATACTGTTTTACCCATGTGTGTCTGTCTGTCTGTGTGTCTGTCTGTCTGTCCCTAACAAATATTTCGTCTCAGTTTTCTCGGCAACTACTCATCGCAGATGCTTGAAATTTTAGCACACACTTTATTGAGGTATGCCATATGGTGGGATTCATTTTTGTACGAATCCAATGTCAACTTCCTGTTTATCTGTGTGTCTGTCCATACCATACATAACAAATTTTGATCGCAATTTTCTCAGCAACTACTGATTGCAGATGCTTGAAATTTTAGCACACTCTTTGTTTAGGCATGTCATATGTTGGGATTCATTTTTGTACGAATCCGATGTCAACTTCCTGTTTATCCGTGTGTCTGTCCGTACCATACATAACAAATTTTGGTCGCAATTTTCTCAGCAACTACTGATTGCAGATGCTTGAAATTTTAGTACATTCTTTGTTTAGGCATGTCATATGGTGGGATTCATTTTTGTACGAATCCGATGTCAACTTCTTGTTCATCCTTGTGTCTGTCCATAACTGAACTTGTGTATATTCACATCAGAATGTATATTCACATCAAAGCGGGGGTATTACTAGTGAACATTGGCTCACAGACTTCTTGTTAATTTCAATTTTATAATTCACTTTAGCTTTGAAGGGTGGAGAATCATATATCTATTGTCAGATTTTTTTATGATAAATGCTATTCTGTATGGGTCTTACTATTTGTGGATTTTTTTTCTTTGCTATATAAGGGCTATTTTGAAATTATAATGAGACATTTACTTTTACTCCATAAAAGAAAGACATAAATTCATGAAAATTTGTCAACATTTTCACAAGAACAAATAAAACAGCTATGCAAAATTTCTAATTGATAGGATAATTAGACATGTCCCATTGGAATTATAAACTTGCATATGTCTATTGACCTAAAGCATCATTGCTTCTTCATTTTCATCTCATGCCAGCCATAGATCTTTACCATGTTGAGACAGTCTGGAAGCTTTAATGCTTCTTTCTCTGACATCATAGAGACTACTCAACTGATTGAGATGAAACCTTTTTAGGGTTAACAGGCATGTTGTGTAGATGTGCAGAAGGAAGGTCATTTTACCCACACTTACATGCACATGCGTGCGCGTGCAAGGAGTGAAATGACTGAAGCAATTAAAACACCATTAACCTTCCTGTTTTTTTTTTTTTATGATATGCTTTGAACTTCATTGTATAAACTTATATTAGTGGTGTAGACAAGAAGAGGTGGTTGAATTAGCAAGAAAGCATGTGCATGCATGTGTGCTTTGCTCTGTTTGACTGACACAAAAAATCTCAATAACCTTTTTTTTTTATGAAATGCTTTGAAATTTAAAACATAGTCATACACAACAAGGCTCTACATTTTGATATAATATATGAGATATTGTGAAAACACGCTCATGCAAGTGTGCTGCAATTTGATTGGCTTAAACTTTAAATGGCTGTTACAGTAGTAACTTTCTTAGTTTTTAACAAAACTGGATGGAATTTACAATATAGATAGGTGTATTGGGTTCCTACATTGTGCTACTCTGAAAATTGAATGCACGAACGTGGATTCTGATTTGCTAATACTTATATGGCTGTATCTCTCATAGTTTTCAATGAAAATCTTTAGATTTCTTACATAGCTATTTATTGTGAGTCTCTTCACGAGGAAGGAATATGAAATATTTAGAAAATATGGGCATGTGCATGCGCTAGCGGTGTAACGATACAGCAATACATCGATCGTATTGATCGCAAGGGCTGATGATACGCGTATCGCCATGTATGTATTCTGATACAGTAGAAGATAATTTTCATTGTTTTGTTTGTAACTTCTACATACAACCTAACAAATTTTAATGTTTTAAAATGGCTGAAAAAGGTAGCAAAGAAAAAATACAATATCAAGACTATAAATCCACCTTTTGTTAACTTTGATAAGGGTTATCAAGATATTCTTTGTATATTTTCTATAACTTTGGAGTTAGCAAAGAATTATATGTTAAGATAAAGCTTAATTCAATTGGTTACAGCTGTATCGTGGTACATGTTGTATATCACATGACCGTATCATGATATGTATCATATTGTTAGGTAGTTTGCAATACTCAGGCCTAGCATGTGCTGAAATCCAATTGGCTAATACTCGAAGAACTATACCAGTGTTGTTTTTCGAATAAATACTACTGAAAATAAAGTATAGATTTATTAAACAAAAGAATTGCATAATTAAATGAAGCCTGTAATGAATGGGGCCAATAAGAGAATGGGGAAATGTCTGGGGAACATCTGAAACAGTTCTCGTTACAGTTAGCACGTTGTTATTGTTTAAGCAGATCTTTTAGTCTGGAAAAGAGTTCTCCACAGAGCTACGTAAAATTCTATAGGTATGCTTGCTGTGTCGCGTTGACGTCAAAATCTATTTTATTGATGTAATCAGATATCTATACCAAGCTTAGATTTTTTTATGATCTCCGTATTTCTGATTGAAATTCTAAGAAGCTTGCACAAAATGAATTGAAATGAAATTGAAAAAATAAATACCGATATATAATTTGAATTATTTTCGCTCTTGCTGTATATTGGTCCACTGGGAGTTTGAACATAGGTATAACATATTTCAATATATGATTTCGTGACGGCACCGGGTACCCCTTCTATTTACCTATTAATATACCATTGAAAAGAAGAAATAAAATATTTGTAAAATATTTGTTGCTTTTATTAATTCTTAGTGTTTTTCAAACATATATGCCATTTTTCACCAAAAGGCATTACTTGGAAAGAAAAATAAACACTATGTACTAATAATCTCTTAACAGCCCTCATAATGCTTGTATCAAATAATATTTGACCATCTTAGATTTTCTTTTAATCTTAAATGATGCTGTTCATCAGGTGACACATGTGTTCCTTGGAACACTCTTTTAATTTTAGCTAGCAAGATTATTTGGACTTAAAAGTCAAGTTAATAATCTTTTAACAAACATTTTCTTCTGTCATGTTTAATTCATAGTCACTAGGCTACACTGAAATTTCCACTCATTGCTTTTCAGTCATCGACGGGAAAAGGAATTACCGGTAAGTTGACAGGACTTTCCACACTGTTTCTGGTAGCAGCTTATGATTGAATTGATGGTAGAAGACATGGCCCACTTAATCAAAGGTAAATCTCATGGAATAGTGCTAATAGTACTGATATTTTTTTTTACTCTGTTTTGCATTGAAGCTTTAGGTCAAAGGCAAATTTTCTTTGTGTGGATTCTTTTAATCTTCTCAGAATGTGTGGCTGCTAATTGAGCCATAGCTGTCTGTTTTCTTTGAGAGTCAAAGAATTGCAGCAAGTCTTCTAGGTTTTCAATGAAATTTCCTTGTTTTTCAGATAATCTGTATAGAGTGGCACCTTAACCACCACTGGTGAAATAGAAGATGACTAGTGGATGGTCATCACTTTGCAGCTCACTTTCACTTTCTGCAGCCCATCTCTTCTCATTCACAATCATTGTCTTTGGAGGAATGGTGACAGTGCAGTCCTCATGACTGGGCAGGTAACTTCCTTTCCTTTATTTCTCAGCTTTCACCTTTCTTACAAAATTTATTTCCATAGAACACTGCTACAATATTCTTCCTTTAAGAACACAGTATATGTCACTTGGGTAGCAGCTTAGAATTGGGTTTTCCCAATGGCACTGAAGGTGGCATTTTGTATTGAGCATCTCCTTCCACTCTGATACATGTATCAGGAGTTCCCCATTTTTCATTTAGATCCTGAATGTTCTGTTATATATTCATCATGCTGGTCTTCTACCCCCACAATAAAGGTTGGGGGAATATATAAGAATCACCTTGTCAGTCTATCGGTGCCAACTTGTTGGTCATTGGAAGCTCAAACTTGGTACAAAGAATGTTTATGACCTGTTGGTGTGTCAAGATCTTGACCCAAGGTCATTCCAGCTAGTTCAACAGGGTTTGACACTAAGGCATGTTTGACCCAGTCTAGTAAATGAGTAGTCCAGTCGTGTAAAAGACCAATTGGTCGTATTGATAAAATAACTGTTGAACCCCCATTTCAGTCCTTCAAATAAATTATCTAAAAACTTTTAAAGAAAGGACAAGGTATGGTAATGGCCGAATCTGGCCCCTTATTTGATGTAAAAGTCAGAACACAGTTAACTGTTGCAACATTCTAAAAGACACCCCAAACCAGGGGCCAAAAAGGGATCTTAGCCTATCTTATCCTTTCTTATATGTTAGATTGTAAACAGTCATTGCTCTGTAAAGAAAAAATCCCCACATGTCCCAATCACTATTTTTAGCCACAGCTGTTATTAACAAGTCAAGGGCAAAACTACTTTTGTTCAGTACAATGTTTCAATATGATGTAAATAGTTAAGTTTAGTATAGTTTTAAACTAATTTATTAATATTAACGATAATTATTTTATGAAAGTTTGTTGAATCTTTAAGGCTTATATTGCTCAAATGTCCTGATGAACCCGACGTGATTGGCGGGATCCCATCAAACAGTCTGTCAAAATTCAAGGTCACTGACAGAAATGATATAAACTTCTTGTCCAGGATATCAGTTTGCAACGGAGAATCATTGAAGCTCATTCTTGGTACAAAGATTATTGAAGACCTGAGAGTGTGTCATGACCTTGGCCCATGGCAATTCTGGCAAGTTCAAGGTCACTGGCTTAAAAGGTATAAAACACTTGTGTAGGCTGTAACTTTGTAATGGAGAATCATTGGAAGCTCTTACTTGCTACAGAGATTGTTTATGACCTGGAAGTTTGTCTTGACCTTGACCAAGGTCATTCTGGCAAGTTCAAGGTCACTGGCAGATAAGAGATAACATTCTTGTCCAGTCAATAACTTTGTAACTGAGCTTTAATTTGCTACAAAAATTTTTTTCTGACCTGAGGGTCATTGTGACAAGTTCAAGTTCAAGGAGAAAAATTGGATGTCCATATTTCACTCTTAGATTAATCATGTCCAAAGATCTGTCTTTTTTTTACCAAAGTCATTTTGGTAAGTTCAAGGTCACATTTACACATTCTAAATAAAAGAATTGCAGCAGGGTTATAACCTTATTATTTTGTTAGCTCGCTCAAAGCTCCTTTAGCTGACATAAGTGATGTAATAATTTTTCTCACTTTGTTTCAGGTCTACTGCATGTTGACAGCTGATACTTGTTCTCTATTTACTCCGAGAGGCCTACTACACATTGTACCTCAGTTATGACTGTACTCGTGCTGGCTTCTATGATGTTAATTTCCTTTACCTGCACTGCGTTAAACTTGGTCAATTCTGTTACTGTCAAACACCAACAGATGAAAATAAGATTTAGCTGATCCTGCCAACATTGTGACATAAGCGGTCCAATGTCCAATATCTCACTCTGCAGTCAAACATAATTTTTTTTTGTATGAACGCTCAGTAAAACATTGGAAATGTTAGACTTTTTTAGTATTGATTTATATAGTTACATATTTTTAAAATAATAACAATTCTTTTTATTGATGTATGTTTAAGTATGCAAAAATGAACATTGATGATATTAAAGGTGAGGTATTTATTTGTGATTTATCTTCTGAATAAAATTTTATATCAATAATTTATGCTCTTGTTTATACAAACTGCAAATGAGGCTTTCTATTCATTAGGAACTGGATCCATAATTACTTCCTTAAGGAGGAATGCCACACCAAAATTTAATTCGATTGGTCTTAAGACATCCATGTTAAGGAAGCTCTAAACGCTTTTTGGGCTTTGAGAAAAATATATCATGTAAAGGTGCACATATTCAGTGTATCAAGTTCATTTTCAACATAAAGTACCTGCCTTATTTCTGCAGAAAAAATGTTCAAAGACAATGAACTATTTGTGAACAGAAATCAGAAATGTTTTTTACTTGCATCAGGAAAATTAATGGAAATAATGTATTCAATTACTTAATCTTGGTCTAACATAACATTAAGAATACTTTAATTCATAAGAAATTGTGTCATTAACTGTAGATTCCCATTTATACTATTTTTCTTCTAAGGGCAAATCACCCAATAAAACTACCCTACAAATAGAACTCTTTAGTGTGCAGTGTTTAGAGCTTCCTTAAGTCATGGTTTCAGCATTGAAAGGGCTAGCTCTTAATTATGTTAAGAATATTTATAAGAATTTTCTCCAATTTTTCATAGAAAATGAAAAAAATGTTTTATTTGCAAATAAGATGCTTTATAGTTAAAAATTTGATGTTAATGAATGCATAATATAAATATCTCATAAAATATGTGAAGAAAAGCCAGATAGACATTTTAATTTTTTTACTAAATTTTTTTTTTCGGAAAAGTACATTATTTGTGAATATTTTCAAAACATATGGATAATATATTCAAAAAACAAGTCACAGCTACAAAGGATATGTTAGACAATCATATTTGAAAAAGAAATTGAAATGAAATTGCGAAATTTTAGAGAAATTATTTTTTACAAATTTTAGCCGATCCCGATCGAAATTAAACTGATCCCAACCAGAATTTTATAATAATTGATAATAGATAATATTTTCAGAAGAAATACAAGTTTGTTAAGGTGTAATACGCGTTAAAAAGTAATTGAACTTGATAAATAAATAAATTTCTCAGTGAAGGCAATAATTTCATCTTATTTATTTTGTGTTAATTTTGATCGGGATTGGTCTAAATATTGAAAAAAATAGTTTTCCTAAAATTTTGCAATTTTATTTCAATTTCTTTTTAAAATATGTTTGACTAACATGTTCTCCATAGTTCTGACTAGTTTTATGAAGATTTTATCCATAAGCTTAAAAAATATTCACAAATAATGTGTTTTATTTTCATAAATAAATTTTTTACTTAAAATATTCAAATGTCTATCCAGGTTTTCTTTAGATATTTTATTACACATTCATATTATGTATTCATTGACAGCAAATGCTTAAATTTGTTGTTTATATCAAAAATATTTGTAAGAAAAAGCTTTCCAACAACTACATGTGTAAAAGTTTTTGGTTAGCAAAGATGCATTTCATGCGAGAGGCGCACCAGTCATTGTCGGATTATTTTTTTGTTTAATATTCAATGGTATTAAGCCGATATCTGTACCGGTAGGTACGCATATCCCAAGATGACGTCGAGCTTGACAGGTTCATGAGTTTACACCGTTTGATTTTGTTATTTTTGTCATATTTCCTTAAATGAATCAAAGTGAATTGTAGATATATTGAGTCTTAACAATTAGCTAGCGACAAGCAGAGTTGAATAAAACCGCCAAATAAATTATATATCTCGTATGAAGGTGATAAGCGTACCTTGATGTTTTGGACATAAAAACCATGTGTAAATGATATCGGTACCTGCTAGTTTTATTTTTTTCTAATTCTTTGCATTTTAACAATTTGCGCATAAATGTATCTGTCAAATATTTCACAGGAACGTAGCATCGTTTTTGAAAAAAAGGGGGGTTGTGGCAGCAAGAGAAAAAAATTCAACATACTCGAAAATCCTATTTCGTGGGAGGTGTAAGGGGGGAGGGTAGGTGTTTCATCTTTCAGTACCAAATTTTATTAATACATTACCCTGAATTGACTATACTGCAACAAAAAAGGGGGAGCTGCCCTTTCAATGAATGAAATATATGTAGATAACGAACGGTATTCAAGCTCAAATGTCCATTAAGCAATACAAATCGGGAGCAGAGCAAACACGGACCTCTAAAATGTCAGAGGTGGGATCAGATGCCATGGAGGAGCGAGCATCCCTTGCCGACCGGTCATACCCGCCGTGTGCTCCTTGTCATGATCGTGAAATACGGAAAAATCCGTCGACAAGGAACCTTTTCAATCGTGAAAAGTAAAGTTTGTAGTTTCAAGTCTGTAACAATGTTTTTTAAGGTGGAGAGGGGTTGAGCCTCAGGAAAACATTCAGGATTTTTTTTAAATGTTAAAAAAGCAAAATGTTTACAAGCAATAAAGGGAAATAGGCTGTTGACTATTTTACAAAACTTAAATTCTTAAAACTGAGAAAGGAGGGGGAGGGTGGTGGTGTTATACTCTCATTTTCTTTTCTGCACGAAATATATTCTGTACAATACGGTGCAAGCGGTTCAACGCTACCACAGAAAAGTGTGGAAAGTGTGTGTTTGGGGGGGGGGGGGTGTCTCAGATAAAATAATACCATGCATACAGGTGTATCTGCAAAAGACAGATGAATCCAAATCCAAATCTTATGTAGAGAAAGAATACATATACTTTTACATGTACCGGTAAATACAATGTATAAAAATGTTTGTTTGTTTGCTTAGTTGTTTAACGTCCCTTCGAGAATGTTTCAATCATATTGAGACGCCAACACTTGCTGGTGGGGGGCTGCAAATTTAGACCTGTACTCGACACTTGCGGCTTTTGAGCAGAGAGAGATCTTTTTCGTGCCAGCATCTACTGCGATAAGGGACTTCGGTTTATACGGTCTTATCCTAAGGACCGGTCTCCACCTTATACAGTACGGAAATAATCCATACATTGTAAAAACAGTTTAGAAATGAGGCAAAAATGATACTTATATACATTTTTGTATGCTACGAAGAGATGCAAAAACAGATATATTCGAGGTGCCGTAACATATTTGGAGATTCGACCGTACATTATTTCGCCTACCACAATATCGAAGTGTATGCTTAAATCTTTGATAAAGTCCCAATATTTAATTACATTGTGACCCATATTCTTTTTCTTGAAATGTTGGGTTTTCTTTGGTGATTATTCAGATTTTGAGCGCTTGAATCATTTCCTTTGATTTAATGTATTGTATAAAGGTATATGTTGCAAATTTCTCTCTGCTTTATAGGTTTAAAGACTATATGTATATATCTTCAAATCATTTTAATTCACTAGCAGATTGAAGGGATATATAAGTATATCTATAGATGTAAACTCTCGAAGCTGTGGAGCTTTTCGACATCTGAGGATACATGTATGCGTACCTACTGGCACGGATATCGGCTTAATACCACTGATTTCGGTCACTGGAGGAGAGATTTTTTATACATGTATTTTCAAGAACAGATTCTTTATTTCCAAAATCTGCCAGCGCCCCCCTCTTAATTACCCCCCCCCCCCCCAATAGAATGAAAATTGTCGTGCCCTAAAAGATATTGATGATTTCTTTAAAAGAATAGATTGGATAGAAGTTTCTAATCTGAATTAAATTCAAACTATTCGGAAATTGAAATTATTATTTGTTTTCTGCATCAAGCGTATGAGAAAAGCAAATTTGGATTGAAAATTAACTTCAAGCTAGAATTTCAATCAATTTTTCTCAGACGTCCGACACGAATTCGCTTTCTATCACCAAATCATATGCGGCTTTTCCCCAACCAACTCAGAACCAGCAGCATACTTTGTACATATCTTAGGACTATCTTAAGATACGTCTTTGGATGTAAAACAAAAGCATCTTAGGAATATCTTTAGTTAAGAGGTCGTAATTTGGAAGGGGGGGGGGGCGTGGTCATGGGATCCGGTCCCCTTGGAATTTTTAGAGTTGTTGAAATGATATTAATAGTTAACCCAATCCCTCTAGAAAACACGGACCCCTGTTACAATGGCATAGAAAGTCACATACATTTATACATCTTCTGTATATCTATAAAGGCAAAGCGATTTAACACCCCCTCCCCCCTCCAAAACGAAATAGCTATATAAGGTATGGATAAGTTTATGGTTTTTTATCCATGCTTAACAATAATGTCTGAGTCTTCTTTTTTTTTTTTTTTGAGTGCGCGGCTCTGTACCCTCCTCCCCTCTCCGGAAAATGCCTTTATCCGCGCTTGATATGTATTGGTAATAATAAAATGTTTCAGAAATTTTATAAATAATCGCTATTCCTCGATTTTCATTTTAAATTTTTTATCAGGTTTGTCCATTCTTATCCCGTTTTCATGTATTGAGCTGTAATAGATATAATAGAGAAATAAAATAAAAAAAAAAACAGAAAAGAAAATCTATATGCAATTTTTAAAAAAAAATATTTATATTAATGGATAAGTCAATTTGAAAAAAAAATTGAAGCATTCCCTTTTTG